AGGGCCCCCGCGCACCGGGCTGCGCCGCCGGCACGTCACCCGTCCTGCGGGACCGGGCTCGCTGCTGGCATGGCCGCGCCGGCGTCCTCGGCTCCTTCCCGGTAATGGGAGCACACAGGTGCCTTGGAGAGCGGTAACTCAGCCCCTTCGTTAAGCCCTGACGACACGTGGGCCAGCCTCGTTAAGCTGGTTAAACCCCAGAGTTCACTCTGCCGCTAAAAGCCTTCAGGTGGAGCGTGCTGGGTTGCTACGGGGGAGCCTTTTGCAACAGCTTGGCCCTGGCCAGGAGCCGTGCCACCTCCCTGGGGACATTGAAGCCACTTGCACCAGCAAAGGTGGCTGCCAGAGCCTGTCCAGCATCTGTCCCACCCCAGGGAAATGTCACGTGCATTCCCCTCCCCTTTCTAAAGCCCCCACGAGCTTTTTAACAAAGCGAAGCATTTGCAGGGCAGGCGCCGCAGGGAAACGTGCTGGTAAATCCCTTGGCAGAACTTAAAACCCTCTGCAGAGCGTCTGCGCCGGGCGCTGCAGGGCCAACGGTGCGGCGGGGTCAGAAGGCAGGTTGCCGCAGGCAAATAAAGCACGCGGCCCTCAGCTCCAACACGGGCGCACGACAGCGTCGCCTCGATTTCCCTCCAGAGAGCTCCAGGGTTTCCCAGCCTCCCCCCTCGCCAGTGCCCAATGCAAGAAAGTGCCCTTTCCCCTGCCTGTTAGCCACTTAGCAGATTAACAGCAAGGGAGAGATCATGTCAGGGGAAACAGATGGGTTTGAGGACTTAAGTTGTCCTGCCGGTCTGTCTCAGGTCTCTTCCCGCAGGCCAGAGCCAGAGCCGGCCTGAGGCTTTCCACGGCCCCGACGGGCTCCAGGAACCGAACAGACTGGAGCTCTCCAAGTCTCGCTTCCCCGCTCCGCTTTTTGAGCCGGGCCCGCCGTGTTTCCTATCGCTCAGGGCTGCTCCGACCGTCCACAGAACTCCTCTGGCCTATTTTAGGCAGCCTCGTTCCTCCTCCTTGCCTTACCTTCTCCGCCTGGGAGCCTTCACGCCCCGTAAAGCCGGTGCCGGGCAACATGCTGCTGTTGTGCCTCGCTGTGTAGTGACCGACCACACACACGTGGGGAGGCCCACACCCTTTCCTCGATACAGGGAAGGGGGAGAAACCCGAAACTACCTTGCCCGCATGCCTGATCTCCACCTCACAGGCTACCTCGCTCTTACTGTGGTCTCTCCGAGCCTGGGCAGGCAGCTCGGGGGGGGAGGGGGGGAAAAAAGAGTTCTGTTTTACATCAAAACAATTTTATTGCTTATTTAAAGCGTTACACGTCTCACCTGGCTTGGTGCGCTCTGTGCCAGGCAAGATTAAACTCTCAAATCGAAACGCTCCCCATCCAGTTGAAAATGGAAGTAATAATAATAAAAAAGACAAAGTTTGAAACACTTAAAAAATAGCAGGACTTCATACGGTTAAAGGCCTTCACCTTAATATAAATAGGTAAGAAAATATTCTTTTCTAAAGAGAAATCTCAACCTCAGCTCTGTTAAAGAGACCAACTCAAATCTGTCCTTCGTTGCTTCTAGCTATACATTAGATTAATAAAACATCTGCAATAAGAAGTAAAAATCTCTCTTCAAAATAGAGGAAAAAAACTTAACTGGGACAAGAAATACAGAAATTTAGCATCGTGCTCAGACAGTTATCTAAACTTTGTAGCCCAGCTCCCCCCTCTCACATCATCAGTTAAGTGCTCAGAAACACTCAGGGCGATGCTCGGCATCTTTGCAGGACATTTGTCTACGTGACGCAAGGGCACCTCGGGAAGCAGGAGTTAAAAGCGAGGTTTTGCACGGGAAAAGTCTCTGGGAAGATACCCTGGAGAGGGAAAGCTTTCGCCTGCCGGAGTCCCAGACGCGTGACCTCTGCAAGACCAGCACAGAGCAGAGGAGTCTCTCTCAGCCCACTACTGCATGCATTAACCTGTCTCTGTTGCACAGACTGTTAGTAAAAAGTTACCCTACCGAACAGCAAAGGCACAGGGGCCCGCAAGCGAGCTCAAGTCTTCCAGCGCTGCTTTTCGCACTCTCTCAACTGCATGTTACTAAGGGAACACAGGTCGTGACGAAGCTGTCGGCTTTCTGCAGCTATGTTAGACAAGGCAGCAAGAAAGAAGGGGAGGAAGATGCAGGAAAGATCACGGGTGGAACCCAGAAATCACCGTGGTGCGGTAAGGCAGGCCGACCTTCTCTCCCCTCCTGGCAGTGATTTTTCTAAGATTTGCTATGATTCAGGTAGAGAATAAAAGGTCCCTGGCCCCGGGGACGCTGGCTCAGCGTGTTTTAAGGCACATTCTCATTTGGCTCTCCAGCACCAATTTCAGCATATCAATCCCAAGGCACTTAAGGGCCGGGTTTTCGGGTCTCATTTCTTGCCTGGAAAGATTAGGGAAGTACAATGCCACGACGAGACAGAAGTGGAGTGTCCTGAAGCAGCATGTTAGCTCTGAGGGAAAGGGTGCAGGAGGGCTCCCCACCCCTGCTTTGGTCCAGAAGGAATCAAAAGGTCCCTTTCTCAGCATCCGCGCAGGAAAAAGCAGAAGAGGTGTCTGGCTCAGAACTGAACCCAGCCTGCGTTTGCCTGATTCTGGTTAGAAGCTGACCTGGAGGGACAAAGAGAGGGAAACAATTTTTAGACATTCACAGGGGCTGCAGCTTGCTGCTGGAAAGCCCAGGCACACAAAGTGGGAGCACAGGCCTTGTTCAAGCAGCATCTACAAACAGGTCCATCCCCACTGCAGGGCCAGCAAAGCTACATAACATGGTGTTTCCCAGGTTGCACACAGCCCTCTTGGCTATTTTTGGTGATGCTTTCAGCCAAGGCAAGCAAACTAGCCAAACGCTGCGAGGACGCAAGCCTATAAAACAGCCACACGCTGCAAGCGTGGCCCATAAAACCCATCCTCCACGTCACCGCAAACCACGCACGGCCTCACCCTGAAGCTTTGGCAAAGTCGCCCCAGATGTCAGCGGCGGCAGCTGAGGGAGCAGCGCTGGGCTGCGGCCAGGCCAAGAGAGAGTCTGTCGGCAGCCAGACAGATCGAAGGAGTGGAAAGAGAGACAAACATCAGCGGTTATTTGCAGTTCCCAAATTCCCACTCTGTCTTCCCAAAGAGGACACTCAGCTTTTGCCACAGAGCCGAGGCAAGCCAGGCGCTCACCAGTTCAAGCGTGAGCTGACTCAGTTCATCCATCAGTCCCACACCTGACCCGAGTTTGAGGTAACACATCTTGACCTCAGCACAAACGAAGCATCCCAGGCAAGCCCAGACCACACAGCTCTGTGCTGCGAGGACACGGTCAAAGACCACGCAGGACAGGTCGGGATTTGGGTGGAGCTTTCACCAAAATGCTTGAGGCCCCTGCAAAGCCTCCACTTTCAAAAGCGCAGGACAGGAGCTCCAAGCAGCTAGAGGACCTGGATGCTATTTGGCTCTGGGACTGGCCCGATGAATGACTTGGCAAACCTCTCTACCTCTCGCTGTGTCTCAGCTGCCCCCCTGTAAAATAGGGTGTTGGTATTACCTCCTTCTGTAAAGCATGCGGAGCTGTACTGCAGGAAAGCCCTTGGGGAGCATCAAGGCACGCTTTTAAAGTCTTTCCGCATTCAGTTAAAAAAAATTGTTTCCAAAGTTTAATGCCAGCATAAACACACCAGCAGAAACTCAGCAAGAAAAGTCTCACATACAGCAGCACCGTGACCACACTTAACCAGGAGGAACGAGCCACTGCTTTATCAAAGAAATGCAAAGGGCTTTCTGCAGACACCTCTCCCCGCAAGCTCCCTTTGGTGTCTCAAACACTCTAGGCACAAGTGTTTTAGGGACCCTCTGAAACCGCTGAAGATACAGGGACATTAAAAATGTCACTGGAGCACATCAGCTACAAGGGTAGCTGCTCTCCTGCATGTACCCCTAGGTAAGGTCAGCTCAGAGACAGTTTGCTGCCAAATTCTTGCCAGTTCCCCCAAAATACACTCCTAAGCCCCACACATACAGTAACGAACACGGTGTGGGGACCTCGATGGATAAACCTGAATCTAAACAGCCTCAGAGCTGCTGCTCTGCAACCACAGACCTGCGCTCGGCCTGCTCGCAGCCTGGGCAGGCGTAGAGAGCGAAGACGGCCGCTCTCCGGAGGGAAGAACCGGAGTGGAAGATTTTCCTCCAGGAGGTGGTGGGAGCAAGCTCAGACCCCCGGGACCTGGGGGACGCGGTTTGGCATTCCCCGTTGCTCCTTCCTTTTTCTTCATATTCTGCAAGGAGACGTGAGAGGGAACTTAGATGGCAGCACACATTCAAATCCAGAGCTGGAGCGTGACATTCCCCTTCCTCTTTCCAAGCAAGGGTCGCAAGAGGCCAGGCAGCTCAACTGCCTTATTCTAGGGGGAAAACATTGCTGCACTTTGATGCTCTGCCGCTGGTGTGATTTGTGCCCCCGGCCACCAACACAGGTGAAACCACAGATGTTCAGATCTGTGAATCCCACAGATCAGGTTCTGTGACTGGGAGCTGCACCACACTCCTCTGCAAGTCACCGCGCAGAGCACATCAAGCACGCAGCTGCCTGCACCAGGCTTCCTCCCGCCCAGGGATTTCAGCACAGAGTCGCTACTTCCTCTTATGCCACCCAAGCACAGCAGCGGGGAAAATCAGATTTCCGAAGGTTAAGGAAGTCAGTCACCTCTTTAGCTGTAAGAGGTAACACTTAACACCTTACAGGAAACGAGGCTAGCAAAAGAGAACTAGGGAATATTCTTCACACTTCCTTTTCCTAACATGCTAAGAAGAGTTTTGGTGACATTTCTCCTCCACATTATTAGGACAATCACCAAACCCACAGGGGGGAGTTTTAATATTTTATGTTTATGTATGTTATGCTTAACATTTATCTGACTTTGGAATACACACGGATCCAAACCATTCAAAGAGACTAACAGCTGAGGAGGCAATCCAACACAGCTGTACACGACGACAGTGCCCTGTCTCAAGCACCAGGCTCCCTCTGAACAACTCTGAGCAGCGCACAGAGGAAAGGGCTACGAGGTTGAAGTGGTGGATTTAGCTAGAGAAGCCCCTCACCGCAATGTTAAGTTTGATGGTCTGCCCCTCCTTGAAGCCCAGATCCAGTTTGGGTCCCTGATCTGGGTTCTCGGCCTGTTTGGCCAGCTCACTCTGCTGCCTGACCCATCTGCAGGAGGCAAAAAGAAAAAGACACGTCAACAACCAGCATGACGCTTCCTGGCCAAGATCAGCCCCGCAGCGTAGTGGCAGTTCTTTAAATATGTTTGACATGGTCCGAGACCTCGTCTGCTGGAGCGATGTGCTGCAAGGCAGCACAGAGGGAGTGACTCCCAGCAGGCGCCGGCAGCACAGCTCAAGTGATCTGCTGGCACACTTGAGCCGCAAGGCAAACCAGCTCAGTCACGTTCACGGTGACTGAGCGTTCACGGTGACACGCGCAAGCTGCAAGGCTGATTCTACCCAAAGCCCCGTTTTTCTGCCAGCAGCTGGAGCAGCATCCCGGTCCCTCACACCTGGCCACTCACCCGCTCTTTTTTTTTGGCATGGAAGAGAAGGAAAGGAATTAGAGAATTTGCCTGATCTTGGATTGGCAAGCCCAGTTTGGGAGCTTTCTGATACAGGCTGAGAAATATTTGAGAGACGAAGCGCACGTGGGCTGTCTGCACAAAGGACGGTGGCTGAACAGAGCTAGAAGTTTCCGTCTGAAACCCCCTTTGCACCATGCTTCCCTGCTCAAGTGAGTCAGGAGCTACCAGCTTCCTCCGCCTGCCATTTTTAGTGAACACCTGCCACCTCTCAAGCCGA